AAAGGTACAAAGTTTTGTACAAATGCAGGCATAGCCCATATATTTTTTCGACCGACATCAAGTTAATTGGGCTTCAAATAATCAACGAGTGTCCGATTTATATTTATTTTAAATCGATTTACATAATAGTGTCCCATTGTGACAACCGTCTCTATATTTGTCCAAATGAAGCATTTAGTATAGATTACAGAATTACATGTTTATGGATTGTTGTGTTATGGATTGGTTCACATTTAGATAAATATGACATATTTTAGTTCTGCGAATTTCATGTTAATGGTCCTTCAAAAATCTGGTGAAGCGTATCATATAGTCGGCACCGTCCGACTTCCTACTTTCCTTACTGGTTTTAAATGACTTTACTTATTAAAGAGAATAGTTTCATCCACAATAAGTGCTATTTTTTCTACATTTTATTTCATTTGGTACTATTACAAATGTTTTATTTTAAAAGAAAGGATCAATTGTTTTAATAAATTTGCCATAACGTTTCTTCAGAATTACTCTGAATACATCCTTTACATTTTGAATGCACTCCTCGCTTGCAGTGACCTAAAAAATAAATTATATACAAATATTTAACTACATTTAGAATTGTTTCTAAAGCCTATATTTAGACAAAGCTATTTCAATTGTCGGCAATATTTATGTTTCCGCCAGTATAATATAAAAAATCACATTTTACTCACATTTTCTCTTGGCAAGAGTGATTCAATAAATTTCGTCACATTTAAACGAAGTCCACGTTTATAGAATAAACGACCTTTATCCACTCTATCAATGTATTTTACAATGGCATCAAGAATTTCCCTCATGAATTGATCCTTAACCTGATCGAAACATTCGGCATCGACGATGGTCTAACAAAAAGTTGGAAAACATAAATTCGTTGGAAATTAAAAAAAAATATATTAATAAAACATATTTTGAATGTGGTTTTATTATATAATAACAAAAACAGGTTAGCAATCCTTTTGTCTTAAAAAAAAAAAACATAAGTGCAAATATTTTGAAGCAATTGCATGAAACATGTCATAATGAGCTTAATTTAGAACTATTATTGCTGAGTTCGGAATATTTATTATACCCTCCAGCATATGGTGAACTGGCTGCAATGTGGTAGAAAATCTTCCTAACAAAAATAGTCGATATATGTTTACTTTTTATTGTATATTCAATATAGCTTTACTCTCCATTATTCAGTATTTTAGGGAGCTTGGGAAATTTCTTTAATGTCTTTTGAATTCTCATTGGATAGCCAATTTTCCATCCAAAAGTTATGGGTATCGGTCCACTTTTGAAGATATCCCCTATATAATAGTACACCCCTTAAATCGGTATTTTGGGGAGTTTGGGCAAGTTTTTCAACCGAATTAGTATTTGTATTAGTTTTAGTATTAGTAGTTGTCAGTCGTTCTGCTCGTTTGCCTTTTGAAATTGCGATAGAGGTCGCAATATTTAAGATAAAGCTCTGAAATTTTGCACAGACATTTCTCGCACTTTTAGGATGTTTGGTAATGAAAATGGAATCGGTTCAATTTTCAGGGTAGCCCCATATAATGGTAACTACCAATATTCGACACTTTTAAGATAAATCTGAACCGATTTCAACGAAACTTACCAACGGTTAAGTTATTCTAACTTCAGTAGGTTGTGCAAATGTGTATACTAATTGACCTAACTTTGGGTCTTTAGTGCACCATTTACCTTGAATCGGACAAGTATATATAATGGAGCTATATCCAAACCTGAACCGATTTCAATGATACTTTCCACTCTATATGTTATACCAGCATCAGTACTTGTGCAATTTGGTGCCAATCGGCCAAATTTTAGGTCTTTGGTCGACAATTTACTTAAAATCGGACAAAGATATAAATGGAACTATATCTAAATCTGAACCGATTTCAATGAAACTAAGCACCCTCTATCCTAGACTCAATTTGGAGCACCATTTACATAAAATTAGACAAAAATATATATGAACCAGTGAGCGGAGCAGTCGGACGGGGCCGACCATACGATACCCTACACAACTTCCACGAAACTATAACTTTCTGTGGTTCTATATTCTGAGCTTGGGCAATATTTCGCGATATTTGCACCCTCTTGACCGACTAGAGGTCAACAAATTTTACAAATATTAAGTACAGCCCCTTCACCGTGGGTTGTGTTGTGATAAATCTATAAATCGACTCGAAAAAAACCAAAAAATAAGTTTTCGGTCCATTTCATCCCAAAATTATCTGATCATCACCGAGAATTATAGGAGTTGTCGGTGACCATAACTTGAACCTCATGGAATATTTCAATGCGATCAGCGCTATATTTCCGCCCTCTAGTGTGGTAATGGGTTACTAAATAATATATGAATACGCAAGTACCTGTAAATATTTATGTGTAAGTCCCGCTTCCGAGTACATACGACAATATAATTGGTATCGATTTAAAGGTCAACCACTCCTCTTGAACATACTATCAACTTCTCGGGTATATGCCCATCAGGTGCAAATATATACCCCATAGAATACACATTTTGTAATTTTTTACACAAAAGTCGGGGTCCAGTTGACCCGCTAAATATTGACCGATGTTTATCAAAGCAGACATACTTATTCTTTGGCCCGTTCGCGGTGTTTGGGTCATAATTGCGGCCCCTGGAGCGACCAGAAAAATCGAAAAAAATAAAGTTTTTGGTCCATTTCATCCCCTAAATATTAACCGATCTTTTCCAAAAACCAGAACCCATCCTACATGTAAAATTTCGTGAAGATTGGTCCATAACTGTGGCCTGTATCGTGTTTACAAATTATAATGGACAGACGGACGGACGGTCACACATGTCTAGATCGACTCAGCTAGTCGAGATATGACGATCGGTATACTTAAAGGTGGGTCTAGGACCAATATTTCGCGGCGTTACAAACTTTTGGGGCTGCACAAAGCTATAATACCCTGACAACATAGTTGTGTAGGGTATAAAGATATATCTAAATCTGAACCGATTTTCTCCAATCTCAATAAGGTTCATCCTTGAGCCAAATAAGTGGGCTGTGCCAAATTTCATTTCATTCGGATCAGAGAAGCGACCTGTACTTTGTTTTTAATTTAACAAAAATAGACTGACGGACATGTATAAATCTACTTAGAAAGAGAACCATGAGTCTATTTCATTTCCATTTGTCTATTACAAACATACACGCAAGGATATACCCACAATGTGGTGAATATCAATTTTAGGCGGTCATTTCGAATATTCGGTATATTGAGGCTATTAGCAACGCTTTTCAACCTAATAATATGGTACCCCTATTATTCGGTGTTTTAGCGGATTTGAACAATTTTTTGCAAGAACCAATTGGCTTTTATTTGATGTTCCTGGTTCTCATAGTACGTCAAATCTTCCTACCTAAACATATAAATATCATTTACGTCATTTTGAGGGTTTTTTCCCACCGATATGACAGTAATTTGGTATAAAGGAGGGTTTTTTTCCCACCGATATGACAGTAATTTGGTATAAAGGAGGGTTTTTTTCCCACCGATATGACAGTAATTTGGTATAGAGGAGATGAATTCTAGACATATACACAGAAAATGATCATATACACAGCCTACATTGTCAGTATTTTGAATATTTTAACCGGTTCTATATCGGATTCCGGATTAATTCATTCCCGAAATTATTCAATATAGGTGGATGTTTTAAAATCGCCTACATAGAAAGTCCCGTTTAGTTTTCGGTTGGCATAAGTTTAAGTTGGATGAAATTCGGTACATATCATTTGTTTGGCCCAAGGACAAACCCTATTGAAATTGGGGAAATCGGTTGAGATTTAGATATAGCTCCCATACATAGTTTCGTCCGATTTTATGTAAATGGTCCCTATGTATATTTCGGTTTGCGCGGAATTTGGCATAGCGTACTAAATTGAGCCTAGAATGATGTCTGCTAAGCTTCGTAAACATCAGTTCAGAATTAGATATAGTTCCCATATACATTTTCGTCAGATTTTACCTGAACTGCGATGTGTAAAAATCGGTTCAGATTTAGATACAGCTTCCATTTATATTTTCCTTCGATTATATGTAAAGTGTGCACTAAAGACCCAATTTAGATATAGCTCCTTTTTTAATTGGTGCAGATGCAGACACAGCTTCCATATGTATTACAACCGGGTATCTGATTGAGATTATATTTATGTAAATAAAATCGATTTACATAAATTTGTCCCATTGTACGCAAACGACTCTAAACCTGCCCGAATTAAATGAAATTTAAATTTCATGTCAATGTTCTTTCGAAAAGGCGAAGTGTTAGAAGACATATGTAGAAAATACCCAAGGTGGTGAAGGGTGTCGGACTGTGCCGAGGTTAAATTGGAATTTAAAAAAGTCATAGAAAATATCAAATTATTAGAGCAAGCACAACACGAAACGGAATGAAAACCTTTGAACTATTAGAACAATTACATTTGTCACGTGGCCAGGATCCGACCAAAACACGAGAATTTTCATCGAAATTACAGCACAGTCCGACTTTACTACTTTCCTTACTGGTTTAACTTTAGTATTATACATTATAGTCTATTACTCATTCTAAGCAAAAATACACTACTGACGATAACAAGATCAAAGGTTTTCTTTGAAAATAGTAACAGATGTTGTTATTTTCAATTAGAATCAAATTCTGCAAAATAAGTTTATTTAAAATTTAATAACAAAATTTTCATAAATTTATTTAAACAAGTGTCAATAACAAATTCCACCGTCGAAGCATTTCTAATATTGGGGGACAAATGCAAACCAACCCGTGTCCCATTCACATTGTTTATCATATTACTTCGCTTTTATTTAAGTGTTTATTTAGAAGTCAACTGCAATAGAATTAATGCTACCACACTTCTATTTAAAACAGTTAGGGGACAATTCCCCTAAAATTTAAATTTTTTTCATTTAATTTGTACGTCATCATTTTATTTTATTTGTTTCGTTTTTAGGTTGTAAAACCACCTGGCTGGCAGTGCTGCAATGGTCATGTTCTCTGCAATAATTGCCGCAGTCGCTCAGAAAAATGTCCAGTTTGTCGTGTGCCATTGGGACCACGGGGTAGATGTTTGCTGTCGGATAAGTTATTTACTTTGCTGGCGGATAGTTTTCCCTGTGATGGAGGTGAGTACACAGAGAAGAATAAATGAATATAATAATGTTATAAATATATTTTGTATGAGTAAATAAAAATAAAAACTTATTAGACTCGAATTAAAACTAAGAATTCAAGAGGATATGAGTGACCTTTCACATTGTTGAATTTTAAAAGTATACAAATAGGTTAAATTCTGCAGGCCCATATTGTTATACCCTCCACCATTAGGATAGAATACAAAACACCTAAAACATTTCAGGACTCTTATATGAGGTCATTTATTTTATATCTTGGGATACTTGTTTATCCTATATGAACATGCTTAAAAAGTATTTGCAGTTTTTCTTCCAGTGTATTGTCACATTTCCCTCATTTACTTCAATGTTTGCATTTAAACCGTCGACCAATTGCAGGACCATTTTGTGCATGGATGTGTGTGTGGTTGCTTTGCTAATTACATTAAAGTTATGAGGTTATACAAATGCGTGAAAAAATCTAGGTAAATATAATAATGTGTGACTTTATGATTATGTAAATGACCCCAAAAAAATCATCAGAATATCCTCAGGGCTACAATGAATAAATTTATTATGCAAGGCTTATTTATAGCAAAGTTCGCTATAATCTAAATCAATATTTGAATACAGATGATTTATAACGTGTGCGTATAAAGGCAAACCATTGAAAAATACATATACTTTTAGGAAATTAGATAAATATTAGTTTTGATCATATGAGGATGACATGATTCCCAGATGGCAGATGAAAACCTTCTACTGTGCCAGTTTTTTTTTCAGATGTAAGGCTTTCAAACTCCGTTTATGATAGAATTATATCTAAGAATATGCTGTCAGCAGGATGCACCTTAAAACTCGTAAACTATTCAGATTTTCTATTCAAAAATTAAAGCTCCAACTTTTAGAGACTATCGATACATAACACTGTGACACAAAATCCAGGTCATGGACGCACAAGAAATTGAGATAGTCGAAGTATATGTTTTGAAAAAATGTCCCTCATTCGCTTTGACCGAAGACATGCCATCTCAAAAATAAACTGCAATAGCTGCCAAAAGATATAAATCTTTTTCTTCAAGAATTTTAGGAGTTAGAGGTAAAAACTCAAAGTTAACCTATGGTGATTTTGTTCTGGTTTCTTAAAATACTCTAAAGGGAGTTTCATACCCATAATGAATTCCCCACCTCTCAAAATCATGTTGCATTGTGAAATTGAGTGCCTAATTCGTAGCATATCTCTATTATGACTTTTATGACCCTTCGGAAAAATATCCGAATGTACCAGAATGTCCATTCTCAAAGTGAGAATTCCAAATGTCCGTCTAAACCTTGAGTGTACTAGAGCCAATAGTGATAACCATGATGTTGGTTATATGGAGGAGCTTGAATTTGGTAATTTAAAATAATCAATAATCAATTGAAAGTTTGCGTGCTACCTTTCAGTAACGCAATTTATGTTCTGGTGTTTCGTACCGAGGGTGCCTATTGGATGCATGCAGGCAACGTATGGATTTTCATTCGGAGCTCAGAGCTCAAAACACTGAATATTAGTTTATCATAGTTGATCATTATTTGACGATGACCCTACAAAAAATAATGTAATCTCCAGCTCATAAAGACTCCATTCAGCTCGTCTCCAAATATTTCCTTCAGCTCGTCTACAAAGACTCCCTTCTGCTCCCTTCAGTTGGTCTTTAAAGACTCCATGCAGTTGGTATATAACTACTCCCTTAAGTTGATGGATAAGACTCCCGTCAACTCGTCTATATAGACTCCCTTCAACTCGTCTATAAAGACTGTCTTCAGCTCGTCTATAAGACTGTCTTAGGCTTGTCTCTAAAGACTCCCTTCATAAAAACTTCCTTTAGATCGATATCCTTCCTTCCTCGTCTGTGAAATATATCCCATATATAAAGACTTCATCAAATATATAAAGACTCCCTTCTGCTCGTCTATGAAAGACTCCCTTCAGACCTCGTATATGAAAGACTCCCTTCAGACCACGTCTATGAAAGACTCCCGTCAGACCACGTCTATGAAAGACTCCCTTCAGCTCGCCTATAAAGAATCCCTTTAGCTCCATTCAGGACTACCATCCTTTCAGCTCGTCTATGAAAGACTCCCTTCAGCTCGTCTATGACAGATTCCATTCAGACCTTGTCTATGAAAGACTCCCTTCAGACCTCGTATATGAAAGACTCCCTTCAGACCACGTATATGAAAGACTCCCGTCAGACCTCGTCTATGAAAGACTCCCTTCAGACCTCGTCTATGAAAGACTCCCTTCAGACCTCACCTATAAAGAATCCCTTCAACTCGCCTATAAAAACTCACTTCACCTCGTCTATAAAAACTCACTTCACCTCGTCTATAAAAACTCACTTCACCTCGTCTATAAAGACTCCCTTCAGCTCGTTTATAATGATTCCCTTCTGCTCGTCATTGAAGGCTCCCTTCTACCATAAAAACTACTTCCAGTTCGCCTATGAAGACTCCCTTTAGCTCGTCTATAAAAACTCTTTTCAGCTCGTCTACAGATGACTCGCTACAACTCGTATATAGACTCCTCCTATGCTCCCATTCAGTTCGTCTATAAATTGTCTTTTAATATCGTCTATAAAGACTTCCCTCAGCTTGTCTATAAATACTTCCTCCAGAAAGCCTATACAGACTCACATCAGGGGGTATATAGAGGATCTCTTCAGATTGTCTATAAAGACTCCCTTCAGATCTTTAAAGATTGTCTTCAGCGCCTCTATTAAGACTCCTCTTAGCACATCACACATTCGTCTAGAAAGATAATATTCAAAATGTATATCTGGTGGTATTGTAAACGGAATATTTTTACCTAACCTAGACGATGACCGAAGATGAGAAAGATCAGTTCATTCCTTCAGATACCTAACTCATAGTAGGTTAATACTATTATAAGTCCTGTCCTATCCTCTTTTCTTGCAACCCTAACTCACTAACGTGCTTTTCCTATTCTGCAAGGACTTCTCTAACGAACCCTTTCCATTCTATACGGACCTCTGTAACTAGCTCCTTCTGTTCTATATGCGGACCTCTGTAACGAGCTCCTTATATTCTATATACAGACCTCTGTAACGACCTCCTTCCATTCTATATTCGGACCCATGTGAAGATCTACATCTATTCTGTATACGGACCTCTTTGACGAGCAACACTTCGAAATATTGAACAGAGACCTACGTAATCAGAATAAAATTATATGTCGATTTAAATATGTCCGTCTATCTGTTAATAGCACCAATATTTAAGATAGAGTTTTGATATATCTTTAATTTTTTTAATAATTTGTAGTTTTGTAATTTGGTTTTTTGGATTTTTATTCGATAGGAAATCTTCTTAGTGAAAACAAAAATATATTGAACCTCTAATTCTCAGGGTGGCCCCATTTTCGGTCTTTTTGAGTATTTAGAGGTGTGGAAAAGTACAGTAACTATCATTGAAAAATTAGGATATTAGGTTAATTTGTCAATGAGCCTAATTTGGAAAATGAGCCTACGCACCATTTGGGCTAAAACTGGGACGATTCCAGTAGGGTTTATGCGCAGTCTTTTAGTCTTTGTTATTCCCTTTGGGTCACTTCGAAATATTCGCCGGAGACCCCATATCTAATATATTCTTAATCGGAATGAAATTCTAGGCCGATTTATGTGTACCAATTTGTCTGGCTGTCCGTCTATTGAAATCACGATAGAGAACGCAATATTTAGGTAGAGCTCTGTACATACATTGTGCACGGAGTCCTAGGATGTTTGGTATTGAATATGGGATATATCGGTTCACATTTTGGTGTAGCTCCCATACAACGGTTTCCCCCAAATATTGAGTATTTTGGGGGTCTTGGACACATTTTCAACAGAATTTTAGGTTCCAATTATATAGAACATGTCGGTACCATAAATGAATAATATTTATTCAAGTTTCAGGGTAACCCCCACACAACATTGCCCAAAAATTAGTTTTCTCCTTTGAGGATGAGATACTTTGAACGTCATCATCATGTTGGAGGGTATAAAAGGTCGAACGAACTTAACATCGATTTAACATGTTTTTTATTTTATTTCTTTATATGATCTTTACATCGCAGATGTACCTTAAAATATTGTACCTAACCTTCCTAGTAGATTATATCATTCTTTTAATACTTTAATTTTTATATCTCCAAAATTTAAATCATTAAAACTATTTTAATAAAATATTCTAAATTAAATATTTTCTAAAATCTGTTCTGAGGGGAAATTATTTCTTTCGCAATTTTCCTGTTCTGCGTGCACAATAACAATACCAACATATCCCAACAACAAATACAAAAACAACAATATCAGCAAAAACGAATCTTATCTAATTCTTTCCTCTTTCAATTCTATTCTTCTTGTTTCTTTTCATGAAAATTTGTACATTTTGGCATTGTACTGTGGCGTGTAGTGCGCAACAGCAATAAAAACTCACCGAAAGATAGAAGGAAGTGTACCACGGAATTTCATAATCAACCAAAGTTGGCCATTGAGTCCAAGCAGCAACAGTGCCAAGACGAAGTGAAAGCCAAAAAAGATCTTGATATCAAGAAAACGGAACATGATTCCATTTTGAGCTCTTTGCGTATGGGTCGACGAAGACGTACCAAAACGAAAAAAGAGGAAACGGAAAACAATGCCAACGAGCAGGAGGAGGAGGGTCAACAGGAAAACAAACGGCCACATCATTCAATGGCACTGCAGCAGCAGCAACAAGGAGCTACAAATGCCGTTGTTAATGTGTCAGTGAACACTGATGATGCTAACAACATCAACAGGAAGTCATCACAAGATTACAGGGATGGTGTAGCAACAGCAGCAACAAGAACAGCAGGAGTAACATCAATGACAGTTCAGGTGCCGGTCCGGTTCATTGTTGAGAATAATATAACAACCTTTGGTAGCAGTAGCAATGAATTGGCTGTTCAAGATGCTATCCCAACAGCAGCAGCAACAGTGGCAGAAAAATGTCATTGTCGAGAGTGTTATAAGCCAGATAAAGTTGCAATTGTAAATAATGTTCCAACAACGACAACAACAACGACTACACTAAATAAATATATATTGCGAGTTTATGAAGAAGCCCTGCTTCATCATCAGCATAAGCCAAGGCAATATTATCAGTGCCCAACTGGGAAATTATGTTGCTTGCAACAGAACGTGATGCCCCAAGCAGATGCATCAGAAGTTGTAGCATCAACTCGTCAGCAACAACTACAAATGACTAATGGCAATTTGTTAACAGAACAAACAACAGTAGCAGCAGCAGACAACACATCCAACACCAGCATCACAACCAAAATTCTTCACAATGAATGGCAACTGCTAACCCATTTGACTCAGGATCATCAGTTGGCTGTTAATCAGTATTATGCTGAGTTTGGACAACGTATCAACGTTCGCCCTGATGCCCGGCAGCAGAGCATAATCTGCCTAAATCTGCGAAGCAACGAATCCACCAGCCACACCACCACCACCACAGCTCAAATGGAAAAATTCTTTGTGGCCTTTGTACCGATGTCCGACAATGCAGCGAATGTTTTGGCTACAAGCAGCCATGCTAACCACAAAAGTTCCTTGGAAAACAGCAACAGCTTGAATGTCACCACAACCGCCGCCACCACCACGACTACAACCAGTAAAGTAGCGATTTTCATTTGGCACATGAATCCGTTACAACTGCAAGGCAATGACCATGTCTCCCGAGGACAGGAATCCTACTCAAACCAATTCTCCAATGCTGGTGACGATGATGAGGTCAGCAATTTTGATGCGATTATAGAAAATCCCAAAACGGGCATCAAATGGTTTGGTCCAGCTCATTGTTTAACCACACCATGGTCTCACATCTATCGCAAACAACATTTTTTTATGCACGAAACGGTGATTGAAGAAGGACCCAATGGAAATGGCTGTGGTAGTGGTGATTCATTTGTGATTGTTATCAAAAGGAAATCGTAAAGTTGTTGTTGTTGATGTTAGATAATTATAATTGTTGTTATGGAGCGAACTTTGCAAAATCAAATCAAATTTCCACCTCCAACGAATTTTAATAGTGACCTTAATATTTATAGTGATATACGCTATATGATATTTATAATATGTTATTATAAACTGTTGTATTTTAAACCAAATATTTTAGTATATAATCGAAATAAAATTAGAACGAAATATAAAAACGAAATTTACAGCCCGTTTTACTAAGCCAAACAAAAGGTTTGTTTTCGCCCACTCCTTCATTCCACAATATAATATTCCATAAAAAATTATTAACCTAATCTTGAGACTCCAATTTCATATTAATATTCAACAAATATTAAAATAGTATTTCATAATAAAGTATACGATTATATCTTTCATATGACACCACTTTCATTTGAATACCAGCAATACGAAAAAAGTTATGGCGAAAAGAAATGAGGTATGCAAAATATATAAACCCGTCGTCAGCGCCATCTATTGATCAAATCAGTTTTTTAAGCACAGCCTTCCAAGCGTATAACTTTTGAACAAATAAATAAATAATCTATTTTACTATGACCACTATAATCAACTTTACTATAATACAAATATTACCGTCGTATTCAAAATTATAAAAAAACAACCAGTAAGGAAAGTAGTAAAGTCGGACGGGGCCGACTATATGATACCCTTCACCACTATGGGTATATTAAACAGGACTATAACATAAAATTGGATGAAAAAAATGTGATATTTATCTAAATGTGAATCTACCTAGATCTATCCATAAAGAATGTCAATCGACTTCAAACAAATATAAATAGGTCATCCGTTGGGCTATGTCTGCACTTCTAGAAAACGCAACTACGTAATTCTATGCTCAATTTTGTAAGTTGTGCAAAATTTTATGTCAATCTGACTAACATGAGGAGTTTGATGCCCAATTTACTTGAAATCGGGCGAAAATATATATGGAAGCTCTATCCAAATATTGAGCGATTTCAAACACACTTGTCACAGGTTAGGTTATACTAATTTCAGAACGTTTTGTTCCTATTGGTTCCTTAGTACGTCAATTACTTAAAATCAATCTATAAAAAGGGAACTATATCTAAATCTGGACCGATTTTCACGAAACAGACATCATTCTAGGCTCAATTAAGTACGTTATGCCAAATTTCGTGCAAATCGAAGGATATATAGGGACTTTGGTGCACCATTTACATGAAATTGGACGAAACTATATATGGGAGCTATATCTAAATCTGGACTGATTTTCTCCAAACTTGGCAGACATCATTCTAGACTCAATTCAGTACGTTATGCCAAAATTCGTGCAAATCGAAAGATATTTAGCGACTTTGGTGGACCATTTACATCAAATCGGACGAAACTATATATGGGAGCTATATCTAAATCTGGACTGATTTTCTCCAAACTTGGCAGACATCACTCTAGGCTTAATTCAGTACTTTATGCCAAATTTCGTGCAACTCAAAAGATATATAGGGACTTTGGGCACCATTTACATGAAATCGGACGAAACTATATATGGGGGCTATATCTAAATCTGGACCGATTTTCACGAAACTTAGCAGACATCATTCTAGACCTAAATGATTAGGCTGTACCAAATTTCGTGCAAATCGAAAGATATATAGGGACTGTTTACATTAAATCGGTTAAATATATATATGGGAGCTATATCTAAATCTGAACCGATTTTTCCCAATTTCAATAGGGTTCGTCCTTGGGCCGAATAAGTGACCTATGCCAAATTTCATCCATTTCGGATCATAAATGCGACCTGTACTTTGTTTACAATTTAACATGGACAGACAGACGGACAGACGGACATGCATAAATCGACTTAGAAAGTGATTCTATGCATATTCTCAAAAGGAACCATGTGTCTATCTCGTTTCCTTTTGCCTGTTACAAACATATGCACAAAGACATAATACCCTGTACCACAGTGTGTTGAAGGGTATAAATATTGGTAAACGGGTATCTATCGTCCTTCTTAATCGCCAACTCGACTAGAGATAATTACTGGGAATTACGAATAAGTTCAAATTTGATTTCACTTACCATTTCCCGGCCCTTACAGGCACTTGCGACCATTAGTCTGGCCAGCTTATTGCGTTCGACCTCTGCTGATCGGCGGGTCTTTTCCGAAAGAACCAGTTCTTTCAAAAGCTTCCTTACATCTCTTTTCCATGATTTGTCTATTGCCTGGGCTTTATCCGCAGTCTTTCAACTCATTTTTAAGTTCGCAAACTTTAGTCTCATCATCCTTTGCCTGCAACGACTCCAACTTTTCTTTTACATTGTTTTTTTAGAGCAACTGCTGGCTCTCTATTTCTTTCACGAAACTCCGCCACGTCAAGGTTTTTTCCTCAAAGCATTCGTCTCTATGCTCTCTATATTGGCCAGCACTATCCTTCTCCGAATTTCAAAACTTATATCATTGGTTTTTATACCCTACACAACTATGTTGTCAGGGTATTATAGCTTTGTGCAGCCCCAAAATTTGTAACGCCGCGAAATATTGGTCCTAGACCCACCTTTTAGTATACCGATTGTCATATCTCGACTAGCTGAGTCGATCTAGACATGTGTGTCCGTCCGTACGTCTGTCCATTATAATTTGTAAACACGATACAGGCCACAGTTATGGACCAATCTTCACGAAAATTTGCATGTAGGATGAGTTCTGGCCAATGAAGACCCCTATTGTTTTTGGGAAAGATCAATTAATATTTAGGGGATGGAATGGACCAAATACTAAATTTTTTTCGGTTTTTCTGGTCGCTCTAGAGGCCGCAACAATGGCCCGAACATCGTGAAATTCTGCATGGAGAAGGAGATTGGGCCAAAGAATAAGCATGCCGGTTTTGATAAAGATCGGTCAATATTTAGCGGGTCAAATGGCCCTGACTTTTGTGTGAAAAAAGACAAAATTTGCATTCTATAGCGTATATATTTACCCCTGAGGGGCATAGATGAGGGAAGTTGATATTATATCCAAGAGGAGTGGTTGACCTTTAAATTAATTTAAATCAGGCAAGAGGGTGCAAATATCACGAAATATTGCCCAGGCTCGAAATAAACATCCGCAGAAAATTTGAGTTCCGTGGTAGTTGTGTAGGGTATCGTATGGTCGGCCCCGTCCGACTATACTGCTCCGCTCACTGGTTTTATTTATGCGGTGCCAAGGTATATAAATGTTAATTGCTGCTCTGACCTCATCTTGTCTAGGTTGTACAATATATACCGTGATTTCTTATTGTTTCTGGGATATCTTCTTCATCGATACTATTTGATGCCAGAAGCTTTGCAAAATGTTCCTTCCAGATCCTCAACACGCTATCTGTATATGTCACCAGGTTTCCTCGTTGGTAAAATTTCCGGACTTCATTTTGACTCCTGTACATCTCGATTTGCTCACACTCACGTTTTTCTTGTTCTTTCTTCTTTTTTTCTGAAAATACGTTTCTCCTCTCTCCTTTTCTCCCGACAATACTCCATCGCATTACGGGTTGCTACTGTTTGCAGTGTTGCCCTATGCGCTGAGTTTTTTACCTCAAAAGCATTACGACACTCCTGGTCGTACTATGGGTTTCTTGATGGCGGTTTTTGGTATTCAAGGGGAGGTCAATGCCCACAATTGGGATGAAAGAGGGACGAACATAATCCTGGGCTTTGCCATGTTAATGCCCTGCCGTACGTCACCCTGGAAAGGACCCACGAAAAACATTCGACAGCTCTATCCGCTAAAAGGTGTTGAAATCCATGTAATCGTTCAGCATTCTTGCAAAATTAATACGGCTATGCAGGTTATGCTGATGGTCTTTCAAATTGGAAGAGCTGCACAGCTCGGCTTATGGAACAAATGTTTTGTCTCCAAGCCAGCTAAGTAATTAAGTAAGAAAAACATTTCATACGGGAAGTAACCAGTGATTGGACCGAATGGCGGGGAAGAGCATGCGATATCGGCGATCTTGTTAAGGTCGAAATTTTCTTTGGATCTTTGTGTAAAGGTCAATTCCCCAAAATAATCATAAAACATAATCCGATTATCTGGTTAATGATGAACTCAAAAATTTCCGATTTTTTGCATTCCATAAAATTTAAAATTGTCCTCAAATATTAGTTTAATTTTTGCTTAAAAAAAAACACGTTTCCGCATGAAAAAGCTGATCAATTTAAAACTGTCCCCATGGGTCAATGTATTGTTCACGTTAACAAACTCACTCAGATGAAACTCTCTGTAATAATCGGTAACCAAACACTACAGCACTGCTCAGCCAATATCGAATAGACTCACACACACCCATACATTGTTCAATTTATTTATGTATGCCAATGTTTGTTTAAAGGGACAAGTTGTGAAAGTTTTATAAAAAAAAATGAAACGACACACACATTCAATTTGCATAATTTAAAAAATGCAACATTTTCATTATTATTTAATGGATTTTTTCACTCATACCCTGTTGTGAATGCGTTCGATAAACGATAGCCATGTGGCTAACGTGATATATATCAAATATAGAGTTGCCAATTTGTGATCACGAGAAAGATATGGATTCGTAAAATCAGACCTAAAGGTTTCTTGTGAGATTTGCCATTTTATTTATTTATTTATTATTTTATAAAGTAATAATTTCTTCATCAGGGGAAATATCGACAATGATCTCTATTATTTTATTATTGCATGACATTGACAACTCTAACAAAAACAACATGCTGAACAAGTTGCTAACATGGTAGTACGTTCGGCGGTGCCAGACCTATCAACCATTTTTGTAGTTTATTTAAACCCACAAATATAGCCCAGTCATGCAGTTTTTTTGTTCTGCACAAAACAAAATAAAAAAATCCTTTTATTGGAAATTCTTTGGTAAAATTATTAACTAAAAATAAACATTATTTTTTTCTGTTTTTATTTTTGCATAATGTTTATGATGAGCCAGATTGACATGTGAAATATCCAT